CGGGGGGCCGAGCGCGGGCCACCGACGCCGCGTTCGCGGCGCTCTCGCGGCGCTCGCCGCGCGCTCGGCCCCGGGATTCCCGCCCCGGGCGTCGGCGGCGGGAACCAGAGTTCGGTCGGACATGTCCTCCCACAGGCGGCTTTTGGAAGACAGATAACAAGGAGTCAAACATATTCTAAAATGGTCAAACATAAGAGAGAAATCGCCCCCAAGCTATTTCTAAACATTCTCGAGTGGTCTTCCTGTAGAGGGACATGCCCGACTTCAAACTAGAGGCCGCCCAAGTGGAGTCCGAGCAGGTGGGGTCGGAGGATCGCGTCGCATCGCCGATGCATCGCCGATGCATGTGCGATGCACCGGCGACGACGGCGATGTATTGACGCCGTCGGCGTGGAGAACCACGGGCACCACATCGAGCCAGATCAGCAATGCGGCACGATCCTGCGACCCCGTCTGCTCGGACCCCAGCTGGGAGGCCTGGAAAAGCGGCTGGAACGGCAGCTCTCACTCGGAGTTGACAGCCTCGATGTCGCCCGCGCTCCTGCTGTCGGACAGCATCGTCGTGACCTCTCCGTCCTCGGCGCCGAGGAAGGTGAAGAGGTCGGAGGTCCCGCCGAGCTCGGCGAGGTCGGTAGTGAGGTTGTTCATGATGCCGGTGCCGTAGCCCTTGCCTCGGAGGCACACGCACACACACCCTGCACTATCTGGGCCGATACGCGACCTGATCCTGGCCCTGCTTCCCAGCCACCCGACGCGGCCGCCTTGAACCCAGTCGCCTTCGCGCCCTCGCGCCGCCGTTCTGGAGAAGAACACCGCTGTCGCGCCCCAGGCCGCGAGGCACGATCGTCGTCGCGCTCTGTGGCTCGCCCGGCCGACCCAGCCGGCCCGATCCATCCCAAGGAGGCGCAGATGATGCTGCCGAGCGAGGGCCCGCTCGGCTGCCCCGCCCCGATCCCGATCGATCCACAGCCCGACCAGGTCAGCGGCCACATCGGGCCCTGGTCGGCGGGTCTGGTCCGCCGGTCAGGGCTCGATGTGGCCGCTGATATGGTCGGGGATGGGGTCTGATGTGGCCGCTTGATGTGGCCGCTGATCTGATCTGGTCGAGGATAAGGAGGGGGGAGGGGGAGGGGGAGGGGAAGGAGGGGGAGGATGAGGAGGAGGAGGAGGCGGAGGAGGAGGAATCGGAGGAGGAGGAGGAGGCGGAGGAGGAAGAAGAGGAGGATATCCTGATCCAGGATCAGAATGTCCTGAGGCACCTGCCGATGAAGTTGTAGAGCCCTGGGCGGGCCATCTCCATCTGGGTCATGATCACCTGCTCGCTGAGGCAGGGGTACGACCTCAGCAACTACCTACCAAACCACCCCAACCCAACCCGAAGACCCGATTTGGGTTTTAAGGGGGGTACGGGTTCCACATGTGTTTCTTTCCATGTTCCCCGACCCCCCCCCACACTGGAAATGGAAGGCAAATTGAAGCCTTCGACCTGGGTTGGGGTGGTTTGGTGGGTGGTGACGGACGCACACCCACGAAGCCTCCGACACCGCGCTTGCAGCGGCTGGTGTGCGTCGGGCCCTCTCGCCCTTCGCGAAGTAGTAGCGAGGGCCCCCCGATGTATCGATCCCAAGGTGCGTTCGCTCTTGTGGCCGAGTCGTTGCGGTTTTGGCCTTCCAGGCAGAGACTGATCCCCAATACAGAGCCTGTGGAAGGGGTGGCTCGTGGATCCTCTCCCCTCTCCCTCCCCAACCTCTGCCCCCCCCCCCGGTGTGGTGGAATCGTGCGGTAGCGCAACTGGATCTATATTTGTGCTGATCCACGGCCTGGTCCTGATTCGGGGATGGACAGACCTCCCTTTAGTAAAACGTGGTTTAGTGAAAACGACCTGAGACCCAAACCTGGCAGGCGCCAGCCTGGAAAATAACGGCCGCGGCGAACTCTCGAGAACCGAAAACGGACAATTCACTAATCGACGTGTCACTATTGGGGGTTCTGTCCGCCCCCGACTGATTCTGACCGATCCACCCTGAGGTGCGCAGCACCCCGCTGATCGAGAGGCCGATCGATCGACTGCCCCGATCCGGAGCAGTCGACGGCTCGAGCCAGTCGGCGGCCTGATCGAGCCCTGATCGGCGCAACAAAAACATCCATAGAAGAAGAAACAACTACATAAACTTGGGCGTGGCTTATCGGGGGGGTCACAAATGGGGGGGTCAGAAACGGTCCCCTTTCGTGCCCCTTTCGGGCCCCTCCGGAGCCCCAGGGGGCTCGTTTAGGCACCGTTTGGGTACCTTTTCGGACCACCCTCGCCGCCCCCCCATTTATGACCCCCCCATTACGCAGCGCCCAACAAACATACACTTTCGGAACTCCGGGCGGATTTCTTGGATCGGCGCTGGACCCCCTCCCCCGCGCGCGGAGCGCGCCAGGAGCGGCGCCAGAGGCGCCGCGGGGGAGTTCAGGAGCAGATCCGGGAAGTCCGTGCTGAGCTCCGAAAGTTTCTGTTTCTGCCAGTCTTTCTCCTCCTCCTCCTCCTCCTCCTCCTCCTCTTCCTCTTTCTCCTCCTCCTCCTCCTCCTCCTCCTCCTCCTCCTCCTCCTCCTCCTCTAATCCAAGGGCAAGGCTCGTCCTGGTCCCTCGTGATGAGGAGGCACTTGTACAGCTGCTCGTAGAAGAGCTCCACCACCTCCTGAGGAGAAGGAGAAGGAGGAGAGGAACATGATGAGGAGGATGAGGAGGACGAGGAGGAGGCCAAGAGAATGACGGTGACGACAAGGAGGAGCCTGCACAATCTTAGCGGGGATGATGTACGCGGTGGCCGCGATGCAGTGGCCGAAAGGGATGTAGACGCCCTCCTTGAAGTTGCCGCAGTTCGACGTGCGGCTAGCGGAGATCTTGTCCGTGGGCAGCATGGCCAGCCTGCTGGCCCCTCCCGTCCCCTCCCTCCCGTTTCTGTCGGACGCCCTCTGGCCATTTACAGCGTGCGGCAAGCTGTCTTGGAGGGTTCCGCTGGGGTCTGGGCAGAAGGTAGCCCTTTCATGGCTGGTCTGGGGGAGGGTCAAAAATTGCTCGTCTCGGAGAGTCGTGAACACCCTCCCCTCTGTTGCCAAATCTGGAGTATGCGAAGCTGGAGAGAGCGACCACCATCGGGCTCGCCTGACCACGCAATATTGGCTGGCGCGGAACGGCTGAGGAAGATAAGCTCAACAAAACCTCATGCCCCTTCGTATCATCTGCCCCTTCTCCCCCCCTTGCCTCCCTCGCTCGCACACTATCTCACTCTCTCACTCCAGAGGCACCCGAAGCCTCGAGAGGCCTCCGGATGTCCAAAACGCAGCCAAACGACGCATGAAAAGACCACAAGACATCGATCCTCCTTCTCCTCCTCCTCCTCCTCCTCCTCCTCCTCCTCCTCCTCCTCTCTTTTCTCAGGCAAGCTGAGGCGACGAGGGGGGAGGCGAAGGGCCAGAGCAACAACAAGCATGTTAAGGCGATCCGATCTTGCGCGCTCGCGGGCTGTTCGACATGTACCCCAAGCCCTTGGTTCCCACGCCAGGGCTCGAATTAAACAGTGTTTTCCGTTTTCGTTTTATTTTCGTCATCCCTAAATCTGTCTTCGTTCCACAATAACTGCAAAACGAAGTCAAAACGAAGACGATCCACGAAATTGCCCAAACACCGTTTGGCTCGAGCCCTGTCCTACACTCTTCGTGTATGAACGCGCCGAACGCGCCCCACTTGAAGTGCGTCATGCCAGCTTCTGGGTAGGCCCTGAGCGGGCCAGGCGAGCGGGTCGTGCGGGCGGACCCTGACTGGCAGATCGGGCTGGCGGCGGACTCTGACGCGCGGGGCGGGCGGGCGGGCCCTCATGGGCGGGACCATTACAGCGGGCGATCGCGAACTTCCAGGGCGAGAACCCTGACGGGCGGGTCGGACATCTCGGGCGAGAGCGTGGTTTCTGTGAGGCGAGAGCGCGATCCCCAAATACGGTCGGACAAAGAAACATATTCCAAGAACATGAAAGCCTCCACCGGCCAAACTGAAGATCGCTCGTGGGTACCCTCCCCCAGGATGCGCATGAATACTCAACAAACACAAAGAACATTAGGGTATCCTCCCCGAACCGACCTCGACCTTGTGCCTTGGTCCGGCCGTAACCTGCCAGGAAGCCCCGAGCGAGAGCGCAAGCCTTGAGTAAGTTGCAAAGCAGTCCCAGGCGAGAGCGATGCGTGACTAAGTTGGGTTGAAGTTCCAGGCGAGAGCGTGATTCTTGGAAGGCCAAAGCGCGATTCCTGCGCAAGTCGTGGGGAAGTCCCATGCGAGAGCGCGATTCAAGAGTAAATTGCAAGGAAGTCTCGAGCGAGAACGCGATTCTTGCGGGAGCTGCTGCTGCTGAATATTAAATGCGAACCAATTACAATTTTTGGACCGCCTGTATCCGCCCGTGCGCTCTCGCCTCGGCGCCGGCTGCAGGTCCTTTGAAATTGAGGAACACGCTCAAGCGTTTGGGGGTACCGCCCAAACTGGCCCCCCAACAAGAACAACGCTCCCTGGCGCTACGTACTCACAGTTTACTCCGAGAGGTCCTGCCCAGGGAAGGCCCGAACCTCAGGAAAAGCGCTCTCGCCTGAGACTTCCACGCGCCACAACGGGGTCCTTCAGAGCAATATTGCCGCTACTTGCTGAGCTACTTGCGGATGCCGGAACGGTCGTTTCGCCTGAGACTTCCCCACAATGTAGCGCCTTAGAGGCCCCTTTGGAACCAGGTGGATGCAGGACCGGCTTTTTCGCCTGAGATTTCTTTGCAACTCAACACCGCAATGGGGGTCCTGCAGAGCATCATTGCTGCTACTCGCTGAAACCAGAACGGCCGTTTCGCTTGAGACTTCCTTGCGATTCAGCAGCACAGAAGAATCCGTCAGAGCAATATTGCGCTACTTGTGGAGGCAACATGAGGCCCCAGGTCGCCAAAGGGGAACCTGGCCCTGAACTTTGTCACCGTTTCTGGTTCCCTGTGGCCCTCCACGGGCCCTGGGATGGTCACGAAACTGCTCAGGAGAAAGAAATTGGCCCCGGGGGAAGGCTAACCCGGGTTCCAGGACCCGCTTTCCTCGGGAACCGCTTCCTCCACGCCGACCAGGCCACTCCAGGGATCCGTGTCCGGGGAGCGTCGTTCGGCCCTCCCGCCCACAGCGAGCCCCGGGGGGCGTTCTTTTCTGCGTTGGGATCCGTGTTCGGGGAACGCTCTGCGGCCCCTCCCGCTCCGGTACGGACTGCGTTTCCCGAGTTGCGACTTCCCGTGCACGGGCTCGAAGTTCCCGAGTACGGACAGGCGTTTCCCGAGTTGGGAATTCTACCTCCCGCTCCCGGGATGCCCCAAGACTGCACTCTTCTCTGCCTCGGGATGTGCGCTCGGGGACCGTTTCTCGGCCCTTCCCGCCCCCAGGCGGCACCACGAGGCACTTTTTCTGTCTTGGGACAGATGTTGGGGGAGCGCGTTTCGGCCCCTCCCCCCTGCCTGATTGAGGCTCCGGGAGGCCTCAGGAGGCACTCTTCTATATTGGGATGCGTGTTCGGGAGACTCTTTTCGCCATCCGCGCCCCCAGGAGGCTCCAGGAAGCCCCGAGAGGCCCCAGGGGACAGTTTTCTGTATAGGTATCTGTGCTTTTCGGCCCCCAGTAGGCTTCGCCCCCATAGGCTTCGCCCCCATAGGCTTCGCCGCCTAACGTATTTTCCTCTCTATATTTTGCCCCTCTCCTGGGGATCTGCTCTTCTGTGTTTGGCATGTGATCCTATATATATATATATATATATATATATATATATCGAGAGGTTATATATTCCCTTTTCTATATTTTTACAATCCGGGGGGGTGGGACCCCCCCCCCCCCGGAAAATCGGACCCCCGGGATCTGGCGCTTTTGGGGCCCCCTGGACGCCTTGCAATGGGTCCCCCGGGCCTTCCGGGCCTCCTGGACGCCCCTGCCGGGCCTTGCCAGCGGGCCCAAAGCGGTCAGGAGGGCGGCCAAACGGCCCCGCGAGAGCCCCACGCGGCCCCAGACAGCCCCAAGACGCCCGAAGACGACCCAAAGAAGACCCCCAAGAGGTCCTCCAAGTGCAAAAAACAACACTTTCCTTTAGTTTTTTATTGAATTTTTGGACATTCGGTTCTTCGGTATTCCGTGCGTCCGAGTCCGCCGAAGAGGCCCCCAAAATCCTCCCACAACGGTGTCAAAGGGCTTCCAGACAGTCCGAAAAAGCTCCAGTATGGTCCAACAGGGCCGCAAGATGGCCCCAAGAGAGCCCCGCTGACAGCCCCAGATGGCCCCAAGACGCCTCCCGAAGCACTCCAAATCGTGACCCGGTCGTTCAGGGAGACCGTGGTTGGTAGCAAGGTGGCCGCAAGAAGCCCCCAGAGGCCCCCAAAAGGCGCCCAGGAGGCCCCCAGAGGTCCCCAAAAAGCTTTTGAGAGGGGCCCAAGAACACCTCCAAAGAGGAGCCCCTGCAATAAAAACTGGGGATGAGGACAAGGAGTGGCTCGCAGACAAGGAAGATTACGAGCAAGAGGAGAGGAAGTATAAGGATAATACATAACATTACTATAACGACGATGGCGCAAACGGCAACAATGAATCATCGCTATATTTGGTTATCCTGCATGCCGAGCTTTAAGAACCAAGGTGCATGGCGCGAAGCGCCAATGCAGTCTTGTATATATATATATATATATATATATATATGGATTGCCCCTCTCCTGGGGCTCGAATCCTGTGTTTTACGTATGCTCATACATGCTTTCCATCGACTGGGGCTCGAATCCTTTGTGTTTTACATCCGTTGCTACACATTGTACCTCTCCTGGGCCTCGAACCCTTCGTGTTTCGAATCCTCAGCGCTCCCCAAAGTCGCACTGATCTTTATGCTGTGTCTCGCGTGCTGAAAATGGGTACGTAAGTACCGCGGGAAAGGTGTGGGCTCGACCCTTTGGGGCGGGAGATCTGGGTGTGTGGGTGGCATCATGATGGGTGCATGTGGCACGTAGAAGCATGGCGCATGAGGGTAAAATGGTTGCCGTTGTTTTAGTCTGAGGCCCAACATCGCAGTTTGAACTCGAACACTTTCCATGACCGAAAAAACGCAGGGTGCGAGCGTCGAAGGGCGCACTCCAATTGGAAAAACATGAGCGGTGTGGGCAGGACCGAGAAAGCAACGCTTTCGCCTAAACTGTGCAGCCTCTCTCGCCTCGATGCGGGACAACACTGCAAGCATCTCAGGCGCCCACGGGCCCCCCCTGGAGGGCAGAACCCCCCCCCCCCTGAACAATCACCCCGACCAGCGAAGCCGTTTAGTAAACGCACACGGGGAAGAAATCGAGCAGGGCAGGGCTGTTCACTCCTGCAGGCAGGGGCTCCCCCCCGCCTCTGGCGGGGCGGGGCTGCCGCGGGCCTGGCCTGCTCGCGGAGGGCCACGGCCGGTTGCCCCAGGCGTTCATGTTCCGCTCCATCTCGGGCCCGCCGTGCATGCCGATGTCCTGATGGGGGGGGAGGCGCGGGGCGCCGGGGGCCTCGAGGATCGAGGCTCCCAAGTCTTCGGCGGCGAGCGAGGGGGGGGGGGGAAGCGAGAAGAGGCCTCCTAGGTGGGGTCCGAGCAGGTGGGGTCGAAGGATCGCGCCGCATCGCCAATGCATTGCCAATGCATCGGCGATGCATCGGCGACGCCGGTGATGCATCGGCGACGTCGGCGTGGGGAAGCACGGTCTCCACATCGAGCCGCATCGTCGATGCATCGGCGATGCGGCGCGATCCTCCGACCCCATCTACTCGGACCCCGTTTGGGAGGCCCAGGGAAGGAGAAAGGCCTCCTCAGAAGGCGGCGGGACTTCTCAGCAGCCCTCGCGCCTTCGGAGCAGTTTCCCGTGCCTTCGGGCAACAAGGCTCAGAAGGCAGGGAGGAACTTCTGAGCTCTCTGAGAAGGCCCGCCCATTCTCACTTCCTCCCCCCGGGCGCGCCGCCGAAGACTTGGAGATGCTCTGGCCCATTCGGGATCGTCCTCGGGCCAGGGCGTCAACAGGAACTGCGCCGGGGCTAAGAACGGGCGCCCCAGAGAGGAGGGGGTCGAGGCGAGAGCTCTGGGGCCCCCACGTCATGAGGACAACAGTCAGGAGGGGGAGGGGAAAAAACACGCAGACACAAATAATCGTCGACTTCCAGGAAGACATGGGAAACTATGGGAAGCGGGGGGGGAAGGCGAACATCCAGAAAATTCGCTGGCCTTACGGGACAGCGGCGTGCTAAGATCTCTGGTAAGGGTCCACAGTATTTCTAATTCGCGTGCGCGGGGCGGCCCCTGGGGGTCCAATCCCCGGACGAACAGTATCCCGAAAAGGTTGCGGCAAACTCCCGACAAGGTCCCCGCAGACTCCCGGCAAGATCTGCCCAAAAATGCTAGAACTCCCCGGGACGGTTTTCCGCACCCTCAGAGCACTCCAGAGGGCCTCAAGAGGCCCCCAAGATGGTCCGAGAGGGCTCCGAGTCGCCGACCGATCGGTCCAAGACGCCCAAGATCGCTTCCACGCGGCCGCAGACGCCTCGAATACGCCTACAGACGCCTCCAAGAAGCGTCTCCAAAGGGGCCCAGGACACAAAAATCCGCCGACCCCTTGGGGTCAAGGCGTGTGAGATGCTTCCCCCTCCCATAACCCCTCCCCTGGGAGCCCGGTCTGGTTCGGAGGGGGAGGGGGGGGCAAAGGTGTCGGCCGCCCCCTTGGAGCCTCAGGGGGCCGGGCCAAGAGGGCCCCAAAAGGCCACCCAGACGGTCCAATAGGGCTACGAGTCGCCGAAATATCGCTCCAAGACGCCCAAGATCGCCTCCAGACGGTCCCAGAGGCTCCCAAGACGCCCCAAAAAGCCACCAAGAGGCGCCCCAAGAGGCTCTCCAGAAGCAAAAATCGTCCCATTCCCTAGGGGAAACGCTTGTTTTTAGGAGAATCGCCTCTTGGCCCACAACGGCCCAAGAAGCTTTTAAGATCGACGCTGGATAGCCCAAGAGGCCCCCAAGAGAGCTCCAAGATGGCCCAGGAGGGCCCCAAGACGGCCCCAGAAGCTTCCAAAACGACCGGGCCCCAGGACGGCCCCAAGAGGAGGCCCAGAGGGGGAACCCGAATGAACGTTTCGAGCACTCGGCCCCGAAAAAACCTGATGAGGCGCCAATGGGCCTCCAAGAAGCCCCCACGAGGCCCCCGAGAGGCCCCAAAGATGCTCCTAGAGGCCTCAAAACGGCTCCCGAAAACCCTCGAAAGTGCTGCCAGGAGAGCCCAGAGAAACCCAAGAGCAGAGCGGCGATCCGCAGAAATCGTTCCGCAAACTCACTCTTACTGCCGCCCCAAGGGGTCGGCGGTGCGGCGTCAGCCAATGAATCCACGTCCAGAGGTGGCGTGCTGAGCGGCAGCGTTTCCCGCGGATGCTGTAATGCAGTGGATCCAATGTGTCCAATGTTTGCATAATTCCCACATGCTGTATTGTGTTACATTATTATGTCTCCCCCCTAACCCCCCCCTGGGAGCTGCGCCACAGGAACGGACCAAAGTGCCCCCCCCCTCCCGGGGCTCAAAAACCTACCAAAACCTATAGAAAATCAAAGATTTCGACTTCTTGGGCCTCCTGGGGGGCCAAGGAGGGCGCCAAGACGGCTCAAGACGGGCTCTGTGCTGGCCAAGACGGCCCCGAGACGGTCCAAGACGGCCCCAAGTGGGCCCAAAAAGCCCCAATGACGGCCCAAGAGGGCCCCAACAGCGCCCACAACTGCGCCTCCAGAAACCAAAATCATTGATTTCCGCTTGGTTTGGTAATATTCTAACGTTCTCGCCTTTGCAGCCCAAGCAGCTTCCCAAATCGCTCCAGAAGAACCCAAGAAGCCCCCAAGAGGGCCCCAATACGGCCCAACAGAACCCCAAGACGGCCCAAAGAGGCCCCCAAGACGATCCAAGAGGCCCCTTATGACGACCCAAGAGGACCCCAAGACGGCCCCAAGGCGGCCGCGAGAGGCCCCCAAGATGGCCTCCGAAGGGGCGAAACGGCGCAAAAGCCCCAAGAGGCCCCCAAGAGGCCCCCAAGGGGCCACAAAAAACCCCCAAGAGGCCTCCAAGATGTCCTCAAGAAACCCGAAGGCCACACAGCGACTGGAGTGTAATGTTATTTTCCCCCCTCTGGGCGAACTGCGGCGCAGCGCCAGCCAGGTGGAAGTTGGTCACTGCGGCGCTCATGATTAGAGCCGGCGCTGGAAGGGAAGATGGGGAGGGAGTATGAAAAGGAGGGAGGGGGGAGAGGCCCCAAAGAAGTCCCCAAGAGGCCAAAAAAAACTCCCAGGAGGCCTCCAGGAGACCCCAAGAGGCTCCCAAGAGGCCCCGCGACGACGTGACTGTACGTGCTCCGGACGTGCACCCCGCGAGGCGAGAGGAATCCACGTCCGGAGGTGACGTGCTGAGCGGCAGCGTTTTCCGGCGAACGCCTTAATGCAACGTATCCAACATATTGTATAGTGTTACATTATTATGTCTCCCCCCCTAACCCCGCCCTGGGAGCCGCGCCACAGCGCCGTACCAAACTGATCGCCCCCTTCGGGGGCCCTAAAAACCTACAATTATCCCGGCAAAGCAACCTAACAGCGATGTGTAGGAGCATATCTGGAAGCATTCCCCTTAAGATTCAGATGAGAATCCAGTTGTAGAATTCTGCTGTTCTCGCAGTCGTAGTCGCATTCGCGATGACAGTCGCAGTGGCAACGGCAGTCGCAGTCACAGCCTCAGCCTCAGCCTGCCTCAGCCTCAGCCTCCGCCTGCCTCAGCCTCAGCCTGCCTCAGCCTCAGCCTCAGCCTGCTTCAGCCTCAGCATCAGTCTGCCTTCGGCCTCGGCCTCAGCCTCAGCCTGCCTCGGCCTCAGCCTGCATCAGCCTCAGCCTCAGCCTCAGCCTGCCTCAGCATCAGCCTGCCTCAGCCTCAGCCTCAGCCTCAGCCTCTGCCTCAGCCTCAGCCTGCTTCAGCCTCAGCCTCAGTCTGCCGTCGGCCTCGGCCTCAGCCTCAGCCTGCCTCAGCCTCAGCCTGCATCAGCCTCAGCCTCAGCACGAAGCGACCCAGCTAGAAGGACAAAGCGCTGAATGTACACCGATGTGTTCGACGACTGCGTATGTAATGATGTGACGATATACAGACTGAGCCCTTCGTGAATGTCTACATGTTTTTCTGACGCCTACAAACGGCGCTGACGTGTGTGAGAAAATTGTCCGCGCAGCAAAAGCCGGCGAAGCGTGCGGGAGCTCGCATGCTGAGACAGACTACGTCTGCAGACCGCCAGCTGCAAAAGGTTGCGAGCGGCTCTTGGAAGATGTTTACGGAACGGAGCTACGGTGTCTGAAAACATTGGCATCGAAGCGAAGAGCCTCGGAGCCCTGCAACCTGAGAAACACCGCAGGAACTCGCATACTGAAAAGGAATGCATTGCAAACCGCACGCTGCGAACCCTGCAGGCTGAGAAGCACCGCAGGATGTCGCATGCTGAAAAGCACTTGTACTGCAGAGCGCTAGCACTCCATCTCGGGCTCGGACCCCCCCGTCCTGATCCAGAACGTGTCCGGCCACGGCCTGAAAATGCCGTTCCAACTCCCGAGGATCAGCTGGCACTCCGGCTCTGGGACACTCCAGTACGTCTTGAGCACCTTGAGCCAGGCCCCATCTCGGGATCCCCACAGCACGCTGTACTTGACCGAGACCGTGCCGAACTCATAACAATTGACCTCCGAAGGACCTGCGAGTGCAGGCTGAGAAACACCACGCGATTGCAGGGCACGGCATTGCGTGTCACATGAGTGCAGGCTGAGAAGCACCACATCTCGTTTGCCAGAGATCACTCCCAGGTTATTTGATCCCGCAACACCAGCCACGGCGTAGCTGCCACAGGGGCCGCAGATAGCAACGGTTCGGTCACCCAATTGGCGTTCCGGTGAGTCACAATTCGCGCGTGGCTCCACGAGCCTGTGTAGCGCGATTTGCGGGGCACCAGTGTGCTGTAGGTGTTGTTGCCGTAGCAGAAGACGGCCTCTGGAGCCCAGTGCGGATTCCAGCGGACAGCGTAGACCCTGTGGACGCCATTGCGGATGACGTCGCGCGCACCTTCGATATGTGCCACCCATCGAAGCCAGTCAAATGCTGAGCCATCGGTGATGTCAACAGCACCTGGGGCAGTCTCGCCATGGTGGTAGTGCAACAGCGATTGGAGAGCGGCGCTGGCTTCGTCGCGGCCCACAATCTGGCGCGAGCAGGCTGCCTCTTGCAGGTGCTCCTGTGTGAAGAGCAGTGGGGCATCACCGCCAGTCTCGGCAGGCTGAGCAGCGCCACCGTCAGGCACGGCAGTCTGAGCAGCGCCGCCACGAGGAACATGAGGCTGAGCAGCGCCAGGCTCAGGCACGGCAGGCTGAGCAACGGCGCGTGGTGGACCGACATAGGTGGGCTCA